TTAACTTAAAATAATAATATATAAGGGATAATATATATATATATAATAAAAATAATAATTATAAAATATATAATATTAATTGATTGATTTTAACATTTTATATTTTTTAATAATGATTCAATTTATAAAGCATTCGAGGCCCCTATTAAGGAGTCCTATTAGCGCTCTCATTTAGAAAACATCATAGAGAATTTGTTGTGGCAATATAAAATACAAAACTTTTTATTTTTTTTATTTTAGAGAATTTATTTATTAAAGTAGAAGTTGTAAATATTTAAAAGTTCTTTTTTCTCCAATATAAATGCTAAAGTGCACGTTGCAAGAAAGAAAAAGAGGAAAAAACACAGAAATATCCAAATTTAAAAAAAAAATTCTTTAAATTTAATATTCAATAAAAAAATATAAATTTTAATTCCTTCTACCATTGAGATTAGTAGTGTTATGGTTTTTTATAAAGTTAAAAAAAAATATTTATATATAAATTTATAAAATATTTTAATGATATAATGTTGTTAGATAAAATGTTTTGATATGCATATTTTATTTCTAAAAAAAATTAAAATACAACTATTGTTGGAGATGACTCCAAATGATATGGTTATTTCACACATGGGTCGATAAAAAAAACACAAGTTTCTAAATGGTTTGATGTAAAATAATTAAGTGGTCAGAATGATTAATAGGCTCTTATGATATAGTATAAAATAAAATATAATTGTTTATAATGAAATTAAAGGGGTGTTTGAGATTGCTTATAAAAGCTGTTTTTTAACTTATTTCAGTTTGGCACCGATGATAAGTTGTTATTTGGTGTTTGGATAAGAAAAAAAATTGCTTATACCGGTGCCAAACCGGTGATAAGCTGTTTTTGATAAGTTAATCCTTCATGACTTATGAAAAACTGCTTATTACCAGTTTATAATTTTAACCCTATTTTATTTAACTCCGGTTTTATACCACATAAGTTAACAAGCACTTTTACAAAAAAACCATAAGTAGTTTTAAATAAGCAATCCCAAACACCCCCTAAGACGTCGAATGGTTAAGAGAGACATAAGATACAAAATCATTCAGAGGGTTTTAAAGTCATTAAGAGACAAAACATTTTTTGCCAAACAAGATTCAACTCTTGACAATTCAGAAACTGTCTCTTAATGAAACTATTAAGAGGTAAACAAATAACCCCTAAATGTTAATTAAACTTTTAATAGAGCAGCATCAGAATACGAGCGTTTCTTAAATTGTATATACTTTTGTCTGTGGAAAATACGAGTGTCTTTTTGTGGATTTGAATAGAAGCAGCCAGGATAGACCAGCAAACTTGAATTTGAAGACAAGTTATGTTTGCACAAATGGGAAACTACTTTAAACGTGGCCAATAAATTCTACTCGCCAGTCGCCACCAAGAAAGATACATTTGATTCAAAAGTCAAACGGTGCAATTACGCCATTAAAGACATTTTGGTCAACGGAATTCTAATCATATATCAAGTACTACACAATACTTTCAATTCCCTACAAATAAACCTAAAACGGTCAAAATGTTTGACTTCATTTGTTGTATATAAATATTATATATTTTAAAAAAATAAACCTGAATGTCGAGATGAAGGCCAAAGCTTTCGGAAAATACAACTGTCATACAGGTCCTCATCCTCTCGATTCAGCCTGCAAGTGCATCCAGATGGGTTTTGCTTGATCTTACTATACAATTGTAAGCTTTCTCATTAAGTCCTTTTTAAAAAAAAGTGGAATCCACAAGCTTAGGTGATTAAAGAAAACAAGATAAAAAGCGGGACCCACAAGCGAGTTTGTGCAGTTACAAGCAAAACCTGGTTTTTCTTGTCAAGTGCTTTTTCACAATCTGATGTGGCAGAAAAGCTCTCCGAAAAAGTCTTCAAAAAGATGTTATTGTGGATGTTCCAAGTTCGGAAAGTTCTCACTCCCATCGATTTGCCGAGTCTTCAGGAAAAACATTCAACCTGGAATGCTTAATTGATGTATAAAGAAGGCTTACCTACGAGCACATTAAGGATCAGACAGTTGTGGAGTCGGACCATAACATTGCTGTTGCTAGAAGTGCAACTGTTGCAGTTTCAACTCGAAGACGGTGTGGCCCAAGCCCGACTGCTGTTGCTCCTGCTTCTTGTATCGACTTCACCTCCACCTCTGTGAAGTCTGAAACATAACAATCACAATGCTTATTCCAAGCTTGTTCGTTGTTCAGTTTGATGGGTCATATTGTCTTTAGTATGTGCACCCTTTTTTGGTTTTACTAGATCTTTTAAACCGATTCAAGAAAATATGACTGACACTCAGAAATATTATGGTCCAAAATCAGTACTATCAATATTCGCACTGTAATATTAATCTGGAAAACGTTTGATAGCCATTTTAAATGCAAAGGGACATACAGACAGCTGCAGGATCATTTACAATTTTAGAACAGATACATGGATCTTATAGTTGAATATTAGATTAGGGTTGAGTTCCGGTGAGAAGCGTAAGAAGGGAGCTCCACCCTTTGATGCACATTGGGATGAGATGCACCGAGATGAGATGCACCAGATCAATCCCTGTATCAAGCGTGATTCATAGGTGGGTTTGAGATTAAAAGGTGATCAAGGGTCTAGATTCTTTCTTACGCTTCACACTTTAACTCTTCTTCGCCTATTTGATTATACAAATTAAATGCACCAATAACTACTTTATTAAATTATTTGCAATAATAATCATCATATTTAGAAAAATGTTGCATCCAGGAGAATTTTGCCACTTGGCCTATTTTACAAAAATATAAACTATTTTTATTATAGTATTTTAATACATTTTAATATTGTAGAATGAAATATTTATATTTATTACAATAAATAATATATATGTAACAACAAAAACAAAATTAATATTGTAAATAAGGTGACCACCATGCTTGTTAATAAAATCAAAAAGGGTGGAAAATGTCTAAAATTCCCCGTTGACTTTTAGTCAAGTTGCAAGCAAAACACAAATATGATGATTCTTGCCACATTTTTGCCTTTTCCTGCAACATTTTGCTAATATGATCATTATTACTACAAAAATTTAATACGATAGGTATTTGTGAAAGGGGTACAGTAGACTTTGGTCCATTTAATCCTAATCTTTATCTAAATCTATTCTTTCAGCATCTCCCTGAATACTATTTTGTCTTAGAAGTGTCAATCCTATTTAAGGACAGTTGATAACTGAATCTGATCACAAACAGAAAAATAGGTATACAGTTCTTAGTACACAACAAGGCCACTACCACAAACACATAAGCTAAGACCACTTTCGATTCTTTTTCACTTAACAAGGAACCTAGCGTTCGAATCAATTGAGAACGCTGTGTTGTGTGTGTGTGTTTGAGAGAGAGGGGCTAATATGCAGGATACTAACCGCCTTCAGGTCCAATGATAATTGAGCCAACAGACTCTCTTTGAGATAGAGCCAAAGCATTCAAAATCGGCATAGCCTCTGCTGCAGCTATAAAAGATAGTTTCGATTGTGAAACCTAAGGGAATGAGAAAGTAGAAACATGAGTATCATAATGAATCCATAAACGACACATTAAGCAATTTCAGACACGAAATAATCCTATAATCAAGAAAAGAAAAGAAAAATCCATGATGGATTATCTTTTCCGTTCTTTATTTAAATGATCCAAGGCATCAGACCTCCCACACACTCTAGAGATACAAGCGACTTACAATAGGTAAGAGGCCACCAACTTTTAAAGGAGGTTTCAAAGTCATTTTATGTAGCCGTTGACCTACAATAACAGTTAGCATTTTGAATTTAATGAGCTAAAGATTCAGGAATATAAAGAATAAGCTGGTTATGTACATCCTACTCCAACTCCAAGTTAGTTGGGAGTATGGGTATATAAAAGGGCAAAACGCATCAAAACATAACAAGTTCCGTGTAGTTCCTATTTAGTGCAACATTCTACTCACATACACTCCTCACTTTTGGTGAGGTTTGAACCCTGAACTCCAGCGAGGTTGGGATCTTACAGATAACTCAGATACTGTTGGCCCAAAGACCCTTTGGTTCATTTATGAAAGGGTTATGGTGAAGACGATAAACTTCACATCCACACCATCAAAGATCAGGAGATACTGGTCAAAATGGGTAAAAGAAATAGGAAATTTGAAAACTTTGTTACATTGATTTAAGGAAAAAAAGATCTCTGTTACCCTAAATAGGGACTAAGGCAAATTTTGCTGCATTTGATGCATTTTGCTCTACATAAAACTGATGCTTTACATTGTTTAGCTGCAGCCAATATGACTCGTTGCAACCTATCCACTCTGTTCTCAGAAATTGAAGGAGAACGCTCAGTCAATAGCGGTGTTACACTACTTGCTCCAAGCTCCTAAGATTATAAGACATACAAATTAGCTTGCTGCAATACCCAAATAGAAGTTCTAGCAAAATAAGACCCACAGACTCCATTCGTGCTTACTGTGCATTTCTCTATAAGCCAGTCAGATCGACCACCCTTCAGGGTACCTGCATACACGTAAATATGTGTCATGGAAATTTAACTTCAAAAACACAAGCACTAAAACACATCAAACCATCAAATGTATTAATTGTCCACAAAACCCACCAAAAGCAGCAAATACATGCCATTGGGTTGTATTAGCAGATACTAATTTAGGATTCTCAAGTGCCACTATATCTGCTCCAGTGCGGTCAATCCTCTCTATGCACCCTTCAACCAGACCTCCTTTCCCATTAAAGAGCTCTATCCTTGCAAAGTTATAGATTAAAGATAAAGAAAACACAAATAAATCAATGTGTAAAGAGAAATAATAAAGTTCAACATCCAATAAAACGCTTTTTACATTTAATTACGGACAGTCGTAATGTTTGAGCTTTAGATTCTTACAAACCAACTCCCACACACAAAAAGGTAAAAGAAAAAAACGAATTACTTCTTCTCAACTGTAATTCGAGGAATATATTCAGATTATGAAAGACTGGAATTATAGTGCAAAACAAGCAGCCACTATTTCCACCATCCTCCCCATAACCCATTTCATAGAAAGGAATATAATGGGGTAACTGAAATTTTAATTTTACTTCACACCCACTATGCAATCCCCATTTGAGTATCAAAACATCTTTTTTCTTAAATGATAAACACTTATAAGTTATAACCAAGTATTGTAGCTTTGTTGTTTGTCGACCCTGCATACCATCTCAATTTTGGAGTGATTAACATGCCATAAGCGTATTTATAGAAAGAGCACACTTATGCCTTCTGCCTACCCGTTTTATGCTAATACTGCCAGATGTCCTAGTTTTCTCCTATTTATGTAAAATTGTTCATCTCTTTGGCACTTCATGTGTGATCCCTGGATCTCTCATAGGCAAGCGGAAGTATTGAAGGTAACATAGATTTTTGGGTTGTTCTTTAACAGCTTAAGGTTCTAAAGAAGTTAGTCACTAAATACTTTCTATTCAAGCATTTGCACCTTTAAAGTAGTCAGAGAACTTGATGCGATCAATGCAAATGAAGATAAATTATCAGATCATGAGAAAGGCATGTCAAAGCATCCAAGTTCATGAGAAAAAAGATCTGGCACAGGTAGCAATTCCCCAACACAAAGATCACAATTGGTTCTCACCCAATTTGTAGAGCATTAATATCAATACAAAGGAAGTATGTTCTTAACCATAACCCTCATGTATAAATGAGGTGCCCTCAGCATCCAGTAAGTGGGAAACCCATCCCCAATTTCCTTCAAAGTTTTTGCCGCCTAGAGATCAATAACGGAGCCACTTTAGGGTACCCATTTCTATACTTTACTGACAATCACCTGTCCAAGTACCAATGTTACAAAGATCCCTGCCAATGATGGGACACCCAATCCAACCACTCTTTGAGGAACTTCCTTAACTATATTAGTAGTTGAACTGGAACACACTCTCACATCCACAAGTTGCTCACTGAAGAAATGTTGAGACTCGGAAAGACTATCCTTATAATCCCACATTCCCAATACCGACCAAGGAGCAAGGGTTTCACCTATAATTCATACATGAAAACAAAGTTTTATGCTTTGTCCCTCATTGTAACATATATGACCTACTACATATGAGATAGAGAGACAGGATGTCCATTTATCAAGCTTGTAAGGTGGGCGATTTAAAGGTGAATTACAAAGGATGACCCTAGTATTAAGCATTCATACAGAAATGCTTCATTACAAAAGACTTGTGACCGCATTTAACTCACCATACAGGCTCCCTCCCACTAAATACTAATACAATGATAGTGCCATAGTGTGCGTGACATCTACCTTACATTCGCTCCGCTTGACTATGTTAGTTACTATCTATTATGCAGATTAAGTCCACATGATAACCACCACAAGTACACCATTGTTCTACAACCATAATTTAATAGGATAAGCAAACTAAGAATTGTTTCTCTCGTATCTATTTTCTATTTTACCAAGGGAATTTTCCATCTTGGTTGCTTAAGCACATCCTTTCTTACGAGTGAAGCATGCATTTCAGTGAAGAAAGAGTAACGAACAGTCGTTATATTGGTTGCTTAAGCACATACATTTCAGTGAAGAAGCAATATAACGTAACGCGTCATTTCAGTGGGCTTGGATTGCGGGGAGTACCTGTCATCTGTGTTCAACCTTAGAACTTTAGTCATATGCCAGAATTCATCTCCTTGCACACGAACAGCTGAACCCTAATATATCGAACAAAAGAATTAGTAATCAATATAAGCTGCAGAATGACTGAATGAGCAGCTACACAAATAACAAGTTCACCGGTGTGTGAGTGTGTTTGCGAGAGAGAATTGTTTGCCTTGGAGGGAGGGAGGACGTCAGAGAAGAATCGAGGGAGACCGCCGCGAGATTGATTGGAAGAATCCGATGAGAATGCTCGGAGGGTAGAGGAATTCCGGCATGACCGGTTAACAACGAGGGCAAAACGAGGACTCCAACCTACAACTTGCATTTGATGCTTGCTAAAAGCGTTTTGCATTCAGGTCGGAGGGACTGTAGTGGAAGTACATCAATGGCGACTGTAACCCACTAACCCTGGTATTGGCCTATTGGGCAATGCACGAAAACGTTCAAGTGTTCAAAATGAAAATAACATAGAGTTGTGTGGTTAAACTATGATAGACAAAACTTGGTTTCCAGAATTGAAAAACAGTTCTAAGAAATGGTTAGGAATGTTCATCCAAACCGTTAAACAGCACAAACTGTAAAATACCGCACCGTAAAATACGGTTTAGAATTTTCACATAAGTTGCGGTTTGCTTGTCCATCAAACCGCAGTTTGCAGTTTTGAGTCATCAAACCGGGGTTCAAACCACACCGTACTACATTTTTTTTTTTTTTGAGTAAATTACATTTCTGGTCCTTGTGATTTGTTGGTTTTTCCTACTACGGTCCTTCAAACGTGTTTATTACACTGACCGTCCATGTGATATGCAAAAACGCACGCTCTGAGTCCTTCTCTGTAACAAAATATGTTAGCCTAGTTAACTCAAGGGGTATTTTCGTCTTTTAGACTCTTTTTTGTCTTTTTCTATTTTGTTTTATTATATCATATTATATAGGGGAGCGATCAAATGCAAACCACTCAATTTGTACAAACYRTRCAAACCGCATTCAACCAATCATAATTTTTCATTGTGTTCATTTTTTTGTAATTATGAGAGGTTGATTAATCATTTTTATTGTGGAGGGTGTTAATCATAGATATTATCATCTTCATTATTTTAATTTTAGAGAAATACATAAAACAATTTCATTAATGTTAGAGAAATACATGAAACAGTTTCATTAAGTATTATATGAAACAATTTCACAACCATATATGAAACAACTTCATCAAAAAAAGTATTATATGA